TCCTACCTCTTTCCCCCCTTTCACTCCCCCTCCCTCCCCAGGAAGCCCACACAGATGTGGCGCAGAGAACCTGCTCTCACATCTGGGAAGCCCGGGCTTCCTGCGCTGAGCATGAGGATGTGAAGGGCCGTGCTGGGTGGGAAGGTGAAGTCCCTGAGGGGCGGGCAGGGGAAGGCCCAACCTGAGGAGGCAGTGAGCTCTGGACTTAGGGCACTGCCACCGTGTGAGGCCGTGATGGGCAGACTTCCTTTCCTGTCCTCCAAGCAACCCAGCGCTCGGCTGCCCTTATCCTAGCTACTCAGCTCCCTTCAAATCATGATAATTTCATTTGAAATCTTTTTTCCTCAAAAAAATTAGAAATTTTTCTATGTTGGGAAAAAGAAAATAACGTTTTTTCAAATCAGGCTGCGGCATCATTTGCAGGGATGTTTGTCTGGGTTTAGGGCTGCGGCTCCTAGTGAAGTGCTTTGCCCTCCTCGCTCCGTTTCCTACCTGTTGAAGGCTGGAATGTGTTAAGGAATTACCTGCTGCAAATGCCCCTGCCCTCGCTGCGTCATCGCTAAACCCCGCTGTGGAATTTGCCAGCCGAGGGGCAGGCTGCTCCGTGACCCTCACGGTCTCTTTGCTGCTGCTTGGTTATAGTGGAATCCTGCCCGCGGAGGCTGAGCTGATGTACATCAACGAAGTGGAGCCGCTGGACGGATTCGGGCAGGAGATCTTCCCTGTGAAGGTGAGGCGCTGGCCCCGGCTGGCCCGGAGCCACACAGCCGTGCCAGGCCAGTGTAGGTGGTAGGGGGCCAGAGGCTTCAGCTCCTCGCTGCTACCTAGTGTGAGTTAGCAAGTCTGCTAACTTTACCTGAAGCAAACACTGTTTCTTAGCCAGGAGACTAGACTTTTGAGGTTTCCCACATCTTCAGCAGAGTACCTCATTTGTAAAGACAGTCATTTAGCTGGGTGTGGTGGTATGTGCCTGTTGTCCCAGTACTCTGGAGGCTGAGACAGGAGGATTACAAGTTTGAGCCCAGCCTGGTCAAGTCAGAAAGGAAGTCTGTCTTGTCTTAAACTAAAAATGGGAAGGGCTGGGGTGTAGCTCAGTGTGGAAGCCCCAGGTCAGTCTGCTGTACCACACAGACACAAAGACAGACATGTAAGTACTGTGTGCCGCCTCACCCAGAACTCGGAAGGCACCAAGGCTGTGTCAAGTGGCATCTGTTGGCAGAGACTCTGGCCAGGACATCACTCCCCCTGTGTATTTGTTTTCTTTCTTTTTGTATTTTAGGGAAAGGTCTACAGGGTATTCAGGGTCTCACTGCTAGATTGGACTTGTAGTGACCTGCCTGTTTACAGCCTCCCAAGAGCTGGGATTACAGGCACGCGCCACCGTGCCCAGTCTCAATTGATGTCTCAGTGTGTCCTGGGGGCAGGGCCAGCACAGCAGGCCCGGGGATTGAACCCTGGGCCCCTGCGTCTGCTTGCAGGTGTTTTAATCTACC